GTTATTTTCTGTATATATATATATATGTAAATATGTATGTGTATATATATATATATAGATAGATAGTGTATGCGTATATACACACATATATATATATACATATATACATATATATATATACCACAAGCATGAAGCCAAGATCTGCAAACAACGCGCGAGCCTGGCCTTTCCTCCTTGGGTGCTCGCAGGGCCTGCGCCGATCGCATTCCGCCCCAGTCTTTGTTTTGTTACTTTAAATTGTACTGTACAGTATAATGAACCATCATTATGCATGTTAAGTTATACTATACCGTACTATACATTATAATGGTATTTTCTGCAGGGATGCAGCGTCCTTACAGTTTTCAAGTTTTACTGTAAGCTTTGATGCAAGGAGCTCGCACAGTAACCACGCCTTAATAGCATGCACACCTGTAGGAAAGTCTCATCAGTACCAAGTCTTCCTGATGATGTCATGTTGGCCTCGAGCTTGAGCTCAGTCATGCTTCCACCTCGAGAGCATCTGAAATCAAGCTACCATGATGGGATACATAGCAAATAATAAGGTCAATAGGATTTCCATATTATAGTAATCAAAGGTACCTGAGAAGGCCACATGACACAAGAACGCTCCAGTCGGCCGCCATGCGAAGAACCGAAGACTGGTGAGCTTTGCGATCGGGAGCCGCACTAATGTCAAGCTCCGCGATGCCCCCGCGGACAGCCACAACTGGAGCCTAGCTCAGGGCAAAGACTACAGCTGCAAGTGCCATCGTGAACCTACAGGAAACACGGAGCGTGACGAGCAAAAGCAAGTCATCCCTGAATGAATATAAGTACGTCAGCCTGCCTTAACACTGCGAACAAAAACCACAACCAGGGTGCGGACGAATAGGTCATGCTCTGGAATGTGACACCAGAAACCTGCTCCGGACAACTTGCCAGGGGAATTCAGACTTGATTGTCCGAACCTTGCCCGATACGAGCATGTCTGCCAAGAACCTGACCACGACCAAAAGTTCGATGCTGCTTCAGGACGGGGGGGGAGTCGCATAATTAACCTGTGGCGTTGCGGATTGCATGTGACGGGCCATGCATGATCTTGAAAATGCACCTGCGAATGCTGGGCAGGCTAGAGCGGGAGTTGAGCGCTGCATTCATGTCGTAACGAGGCCATGGCCGTTCACAGACGAAAGATGCGACTGCCTTCTGCTGTTGTACTACTGCTCCTACTACGACGACGACGAGTACGCCAGCTGCCAGTGTGCCAGCGTGTACATGTTTAAAGCAGGTATACTTTACTATATTCTACTACTAATTTGAGGCTTATATTAAGTTCTTGTATATCATACTACATCTTGTTATATTATAGAATAGAAGACTATGTTATCATACCACATGTTACCTTGCCGGTTCTCATCTTACCGTACCTTATCTTATCACATGTCATAATTGTATTGCTTACACTGCCCAAACTGTCAACTGGCCATGAACCCATAGTCTCCATTCTATTCCTCTTGTTTGCCCTATATTCCTATATACTTTTCTATTCCACATCAAACCCTAAACCCTAAACCCTACACCCTAAACCCAAAACCCTACACCCTAAACCCAAAACCCTATACCCTAAACCCTGTATCTGTCAATGGCCGCCACGACCAAGCCTCGACGGGCTCGGCATCGTTTATCGTCGCGTCCGTCTGCCAAGCTGTGCAACGAAAGGCCAGAACCCACTGGGGTAGTTCTCTAAATTAGGGTTCCTTTTTAGGGGTTCCTTTAAAAAGGATCTATAAGGGGGTACTAAAATGGGGGTCCATAAGGGGTAGTTCTCTAAATTATGGTCCCTTTAAGGGTCCTTTTTATAAGGGTGCCGTACTATATTGGGGACCTAACAGGGGACCCTAATTTAGGGAGCTACCCACGTCATTTCCGGCTAACCTGGGGGTGTAGGGAGTGTAGGGCTACTAAAAGGGGTTACTACAAGGGTACCATAGGGGTTACTATAAGGGTACTATAGGGGTCACTGTAAGATTACGATAGGGGTTACTACGAGGGAATGATAGGGGTTTAGGGTTGAGGGCCAGCTTCCCCAAGGGGGTTCCGTGCTGGCTGCATTGCCGAACTACCGCCGGCGGGCACGCCTCGAGGACTTCTTCTGGGAGCTTTCCGACCTGGCACCAGCAATGTCATGTGCAAATATAATCAATATATGTACTGTAAGTAATAGCACAGAAAACCTGAATCTAGTATAAGGTCGCAAGGTTAGGCGGCTAGAAAGTGCTGGAACCGGCATCCGGATGCTAGTTGCTCAGGTCAGGTCTTCAGGATCCTCCCTTGCCAGACCTTGCAACCATGATGAAGTCTCCTTTTCCACTGGCATGGTTTAGGGCAACTCACGTCCGTAGCCGTAGAAGTGACACATGGCACACAAGTTGCGCATGCCAATTGTTGGGGCCGCTATGCCCACCCGAAACCCCAAACCCCTGTAGTTCCTTGGACCCCCATGGTACGCTTATAATAGTAATCCTAAACCCACGGCTTGCTGGGCAGCAGCCTACAGGGAGCTGCAGCAGGCTCTGCAACCTTCGAGCTGCTCACTGGAGGAGGTGAGCAGGTTTTTGGTTTCGGGCTCTGAATTCGCGACTCGCCCCAGAAGGGTACGCAAGTTTTAGAGAGTTATCCAGCAAGGCGTCACTACTCTGCATCCAGACCTTCAGTAGGAGAGAGCTTGTACAAATGTCCGAGTCGAACAAGATCTGTGACTGCTCTCGCATGGGACTTGGATTCAGACTTCGATTCCAGTGCCTCCATCTCGAATCGCCATGTCTCGTTCTGAACGAATGCAGACACCATGGCATCTGTACCGGCCACTGCTGTCAAGGCCTTTTTGGCAAAGAACGACGAGATAATCTCAGCAATGGTACGGGGTGTCAGCAAGTCTTGGTGTATGTAGGTGATCAAGGACTGGTCCAAGTTTTTCTGAAAAGCCCATGCGATGCAGGCAGCCAAGGTGCATAGGCCGAAAACAAAGCGCAAGCCATACTCCACCCAAATGTGGCGATAGACATGCCATCTGCCAGCCACTCCTTTTTTCGTGCCTGTGATACGGTATCCGGTGTGAATGCCGACTGCAAGGTACAGTGTGGCCGCCACGACTCCCACAGAGAGTGTTGGGTCACCGAAGATCTGTTGAAAGAGGGCGAAAATGACCATGTAGATCGGCAGGACTTCGAATGTGGTGAGGATCAGCAACCAGCCGCCTGCCTGAGTTCCAGGGAACATGGCCTTCAAGTTGATCAACGATTCTGCAAGACCATTAGCCAGCCCAAGTGCAGCAGAAACCATGTTCTGTCCAACCATGACTGCCAACAGCATACCTCGGCTCAGTTTCTTACCGTAATACCTGGTACCTCAGAATGGACAAACAAGGAAGACACCAGGAAACCAACACACACCAAGTGGGTCACCTACCGTGTCCCTTACAACTGGATCTGCTGTGCTTCAGTACAAGGTGCCAACGGCATACTCGGCCTGAGTGCTGGCAAAAGTCGTGCTCTCGGAAAGCTGCATGATGGAGAATCTTTGCAGCGTCGATATCGCATTCACAAGGTCGGCTTGAGAAACCTCTCCAGATAATGAAGAGGCACGCATTTGCTGCTGCAGCGCCTGCGGTGCATAGGAACGCCTGGCAACCTGAGCGTCACACTCCTGCATGAGCCGTGTCAGTGCTTCTTGAGCCTGTTGACCGTTCGTCGCAACAGTGAAGTTCACGCAGTTCTGAATACACTGCCTTTCTGCCACAGTTCCTGCTGTGAGTCTCTCGCAGCTCAGTTGGCGACAGCGATCCTCCACAGACCACACGCAGGGCACAGACTGATTGAAGAAAACTGCATGCCAGTTCTCTCCGTTGTCGAGACACCATTGGAAGGGATCACTTGCGACGCCCTGCATTGACTCGTCAAGAGCTCCAACCTGCTGCGATGCCAACTGAGTCTTTAGAGAAAGCTGACTAAAACCCTATCTATAGAATAGAACAGAATAGAATAAAACATAGTATAACATGATATAATATTATATAAATATAATATATAGGAAGGTTGAGTCCCTGAGCCCCGGGAGCAGCCGCCACGCCTGCTGCAGCACCTGCAGGTTGTCCACAAGCTGGGATCCAGCCATGTTGCCACTGGCAGAGATAGAACTCACACAAACATCCGCTGTGATCGCCCTCCAGTCGACCATGGAACGAACAGGAAATATGAGAAACAACATGAAGGGAGGGAAGAAGGAGAGCAGCCACGTAGCCCAAATGATGCGCCTGCCCAGCCTTAGGCTGCCTGTTGCTCTGCTGGGACTTGCAACGCACACGGCCAGCAACGTACCAACGCAAGCGAGAATTGACAACAACCAGATGGCAACATCAATAACCTGAAGAGTACGAACTAGTGGCACGAAGCGGTCACGCGGAGTCGTTGCAGCAACTTGATGTTGCAGGAAAAGGCTGTAATCTGCGTCACTGAGCCAGGGCGATGACAGTGCTACATGCAGCAGTCCGAAGACTAAGCCCACCAGCAGGTAAGAGTAGCGCCAGGCAAGGTATGGTCCAACCAGACCCGACGAAAAGCGCTCCTCTTCCGCGTGTCGGGACAGGTCTGCGGCAAACCTTCCAGCTTTCGCCTCTGCAGCATCATCCCACAACGCATTGCGCAGGACGCCGTAGCAGAAGTCACATAAAGAGCACATCACGGAGGGACAGCTATAGTATACCCCTTGCACAACCCGACCTTGGGCCAGTTCTGCGGGTATGGGGTGACTCGGCTGCCGACTGACTATAGGGTGAACTGAATAAATGAAGAAAAGGAAAACTGCGTGCTGCAGGCTGGGCAAGGCCAGAATGAGAGCTTTTCGTTGCACAGCGCACTTGTACTTGCAGGTTCATGGGTATTTCTAAGTGGGGCTATAAGTCCCCACTGTGGATTATAACTACAACTACCCTACTTATAACCCCACTCTAAACCCTACGCCCTATATAGAACCCTTAAAGGAACCTTGCTTACTAGCCATGAACTTACAACCACCCTCCGTTCCCTGGGCTTCCCGGGCCTCCTGGCCGTTGAGCGGCTTTGTGTTGCGCTTCTCTATCCCCGGCCTGCGGGAGACTTACACAGGGACACATTCCGTTTCATTATAGTAACTATAGTATATCATAGTGTAGCATAGAATACCATAACATAGTATCTCTATAACTGCCTATAACATGTCATAGTATGGTATAGGATGGTATGGTATAGTGTAGTATAGTACAGTTCTTCGAGGTATTTGACAGCAATTTGGGCTCTTCTCATCTGCGCCTGTGTGAGTTGTTCTGACAGCGTCCAGTTCCGTCATCCGGGCTTGGGCAATTTCAACTGGCTCTATAAGTCACTGCTGTAGAAGATGGAACCATAGCACAAGGTCACAGGTGCTTCGTCCAATTTTGTGCAAACGGTCAGGATTGGGACAAAAGCAACCATTATGACGAGTTCCGTGGGAAACCAGCTGCCAAAAGTCTCCTCATGAGCCCACTTGCAGTTGCAGTTACTTGTGCCTTTATAGTGTCCAGGTGGGTAACGCACGGCCATTTCCTCATGACCTCATTAACTCATCTTTGGGCCACGGAGCAACCAAAGAAGCGGCACTAAAGGGTCCGCGGGCAAACAGACGTCCCCCAATACAGACCCGAAAGCCCTGCTTCAGAGCGGATCCGATCCTCATCATGGCCGAGGTGAGTCCCGGATCCGCCGCCTCGCCTGCCTCCTTCCTGAGCCGCATAGGACCAGCATCGAATAGGGGGTTGAGGTTGCTCACTGTGAGGCTGAGGCTGAAATCATCTCTACGCTAATTACCACTGTGTGTTCCAGAGCAACATCAAGCCCCCTTTGTGCCAAATGTAGCTTCCAAATGCCCCAGAGCCTTCTCTACTGTAGGCAGCTCCTCCTGCGGCACTTCAGGCTGAGGCAGGAGCGGGATGACGCGCACGCGGATCCGGTCGCAGTCGGCATGGTCACGGATGTCCAGGTTGTAGGTGGAATCCTCCCAAGAGCAGAGAAAGCTCCAAGGAGGGGCCTCGAGGCTCGCATGGACTTCCTGTTGAGGCCGCGGCCATCTCATTAAAGGATTTCACGACAGCAGGCAAGGACTGTGCGGCTCCCTGGGCAGAGAGCCGCTCTGATCCTTCTCTCAGCTTCTGGCTTCCCCGAAAGCTCGCCTGCTGCTCCCGCTGTTGACTAAAGTAGTTCACGAGTGTCCCGCGAGGCCAGGCCTGAAGAAGGGCCCAGAAAACTGCACACTCCTGGGGGCCCTAGTCACGGAACTCTCGCGGCCTCTTCAGCAGTAATCTCCTTCGCCGGGGCAATTCGCGAGGGCTGCGCATGAGGCCGCACGTCCAAGTTGTACGTGCCTACAGGTTTCCGCGCAATGTTTGGATTCAGCCAGGTGGAGCATTGATCAACAAATCCGTAGCGTGTAAACTGCTGAGAGCTGCGCAGTCAAGGTCATTAAAACCTTGTATAACCGCAGGCAGGAACGGGTATTGCGTTGACCTGGGCGACAACAACAGCGACAACGACAGCAGCGACAGCAACAGCAACAACAACGGCAACGGCAACAAAAGTAGTAACAGTAGTCGTCATCGTAGTCGTCGGGGTAGGAGTAGAGTAGGAGTACGAGTAGAAGGAGTAGGAGAGGGAGCAGGAGGAGTAGTAGTAGTAGAATTAGTCGTCGTCGTCGTCGTCGTCGTCGTCGGCCTCGTCGTCGTCGTCGTCGTCGTCGTAGTAGTAGTAGTAGTAGTTGTTGTAGTTGTTGTAGTAGTAGTCGGAAGTAGCAGTAGCGGTGCCACTACTAGGAATACCGTACTGCTAGTACTAGTACTACTTGATGCCCGAAATCCTGCATCACCTTGAACCTACCCGCGGCTCCCTGCTACCGCAAATTTTAATGTTGCACTGATGCAAGGGCTAAAACCCGGGATTGCCCAAAGTCATGCATGACTTTGGGCATCAGCAGTAGTACTAGTAGTACTCGTAGCAGGACTAGCAGTACTACCTGTAGCAGCGCTAGCACTACTACGAATAACACCCAAAATAGCAACGATAATCATATTGATGATGAAGACAGTAGTATCCAAAAGTTTGTCGACAGCAGCAATAACAACAAATCAAAGCGATAATGCTGACAAGAGTAATAACAACAATAAGCTTCACAATAATCATGCTTGATACCCCTGACAATGATAACTTAAAATGATAACAAAAACACTACTTCTAATGACAATAAGAAGCAGAAGAAGAAGAAGAAAAAGAAGCGGAGCTGCCCGGCTGAGGCATGCGCGAAGTCGGCTCGTACCGGCACTTCGTGCCTTTTGGGGTTCAGGGTTTGGGGAGCCACAGCCAAGGACACAAGAAGAGTAAGTTGCTTCAGGTTTCCGCCGGATGCTTTGCACTTCTTCAATCCTCTTGACCGTGCCCACAATCTACAAACAGAGCGAGAGAGAGAAAGAGGGAGAATGCGCTTATCAATCTACCTAGCTATCTACCTAGCTATCTATCTATCTACCTATCTATCAATCTATCTACCTATCTATCTATCTCTCTACCTAGCTATCTACCTGTCTATCTATCTATCTACCTATCTATCTGTCTATCTATCTACCTATATGTTGAGAAGGTGGGTATGCGAAACTGACTGCAACCATATACTGCTAGGATTACGCAGGTTTGCATATCAGCTGCCTCGTTGCTTGGGAGCAAATCGGCGCAAGCATTAGACGCCAGTGCCTGGCTGCAGCAGCCGTGGCGCTGAAGCCGCCATGAGGGTAGTGGGAGACTCTCGATGAACGGCTTCTCGCGGCGCAGCCTCCTGAAGAGGTAAGTGAGACCAGTCTAGCCCAACTCGGTTTTCGGCAGGATGGCGTGGCACTTTCATTTTAGCCACTGGCTAGTCCAGGTCCTGGGCCGCGAGTTCCTGCAGGCAAGTCGCTCGGCTAGCTCAGCTTGTTGGGTGATCCGCACCACAAGCGTTCTTGACACCGGAATCTGATTGTCACTGTGATCAGAATGCTTAGTCTTAGTCGCCTGCACATGAACCACTCGCCTCCAAATCTGCTCGAGTCTTGCTTCGATACCGAGTCTGACTGCGCCAGCAGTACATCGACTTGTCCCGGACAAGAACAGACCAAAGCCAGTATTAGTTTCAGAGGCATGTCGGCTCTGTTATCGCTGCGATCGCCGAGTTTCTCTGTACAGCCAGAGGTAGGGACTCTGCTGCTACTGAAGATGCGATGTCACGCGCCGCCCATAGCTGGACTTGTTTGAACCTTCCCCGCCATACCCGGGCAGCGGCTTCGCCTTTGTCCGCTGGGTCCGAAAGTCCTTGTTTTGCTTTTTCACCTGCAAACATTGCCGGTGCATCCAAGCAAGCCCTCAAAACGGTGCAGGAACCCCTGTGCCAGCAGACGACAGGCCCCCCCTTCAACCCCCTTCGACTTCGAAGCTTGATGAACTGCTTGCCCATGCTCAGCAAGCAGTCAAAAGGCCCTAAATTCACCCCTAAACATCATTAAACATCCCCAACCCCAAACCGGGAAAGCTACATTTGGGCCTGTTCCCCGAGACTACAAAACCCCTTAGTCAAGGAGTATACGTTAAATCACAAGATGACGTAAGCTCCCCAATAAGACATATAGGATTAATAGCGGGATCCATATACTATGATGCAAAGGCCTCGCCCTAAACCCTAAACACTGAACCCTAAACCCCAAATTCCACAAATTCTTTGGGGGGGTGCTTGGGAGTCTCCCGGTTCCTGACCTCCACGAGTTGGGCTTCGAGTTCAGCCTTCGATTGCTTCAGCTCTTCCAGCCTCTCGCTTTCAGGATGTCAAGGGGCTCGTTGAGTTTCTTTAAGGGTTTAGGGTTTGGGGGGTAAGGTTTAGGGCTTGGGTTTTGCTTGGGTTTGGAGTTTAGGGCCTTTGGGGCTCAGGTTGAGGGTCTAGTGATACCCTATGGCCCTGTACGCTCTAGGACAGAGCACACGCTGACATTTGCAAGCCTGTGCCGGACATGTTCCGCGCAAAGGCGTGAAACAAACGGATCGACCACAAGGCACATCATCGCCACACTCTGCAAAGTCTGCAAGTGCCCGACTCTTGCCGAATCATCACCGATTCGCTTTTTGGCCTTGCAAAACGCAACTTGGTGATACTTGGTAAAGCTACTCACATGGTCCCCCGACCGCCACTCGCGACCGACCAAAGACTGAGCTGCGAACGCTCCACCTTTCGGAGGCACGGGCAAAGGCGCCTGCACCGAGTGCCGCCCACTCGTGCTATGAAGGGAAATCTCGGAGACACAATGGAAGTATGGTGCTACTGGACATCGCAAGCGAAACATGCACTCGACGTGAACTTCGCAGACCACTCAACTTGCTCGATGACACCTTCCAGCGCTTACCCCGCCACCCAAAATACAACCAAGACATCTGCAAGACTGTGCCAGAAATCACTACGGATAATCGGGCTCGAAGAAACCGAAGGGTAGTAACAAGATCTTGCGCAAGTCTGGCCTTAGGCGCGTCCATGCCGAACCTGACAGACTCGGGTCTTGACTCTGAGCTCCCCTAAACCCCTAAACCCCTGTAGCACCTCTCCGATGGGCCCTTTCCGGCGCCCTTTGGTGTGCGGCCATCGCCCTGCAACGACGCCGCGGATTTTTCTAGGCAGCACTGGCTCGCGCAGCTTTGCCTGTGGGTATCCCATGGGACTCGGCCTCAGGAGCACAAGGTTGTAGTATATATCGTGTGTGTGTGTGTGCGTGTGTATGTATGTATATATATATATAGATAGATAGACAGAGTATACATTGTATATTGGTATGTATAACATATATTGGTATATCTATATATTTTTATATAGAGACATAATTGTGCTGGGTTGCAGTACAACTTTAGTACCGGAAAGCAGCAGTAGCAGTAGAGTAGAACTTGAACCCGAAGCTTGGCGAGCGCATCTGACACCCACAGCAGAACTGAGGGTATCGCTTTTGGGGCGGGGGGCCTATCGTTTTTCCATACGAATGGAGCATTCTGATTCATTTTATCTCTGCAAAGTATGCCCTCCGACATGATAATAAAGGCAGTCGCTCATATAACACACACATATATATATATGTATATATATATATGTATATATAACATATGTATATAGTATAAACCTTACATACTGTGTGTATATATATATATTTATATATATATATATAGTTAGTCTTAGGGTTTCGGGTTGAGACCGGGAACCGGGAGGTCATGGGATCTTCGGTCCCGGTCGTCTCGGCCGCCGGGCGCATCTGATTGCGCAGACCGCGCTGAGCGTGCGCGGGGCCGCGACTCAGCTTTGCCAGCGGCGGCCTCCAAAAGCTGTCGCAGATGCAGCGTTTGAACATGGGAATCTCAGAACATCCTTGGGACCTCTGCGTCGCTGGGACTTCCTGGGCCGTGCGACATATTCGGTAGAGCCTTTCCTTTCTCTGCCGCTGCGGCCTTCGGTGAGTTTCCTCTTCTGCTCCGCCACCCGCCTGGGAAGAAATCCGGGACTGGCTCCCCGCGTTTCGACGTGCTACGGAAATCTCCCCAATACTGACTCTGAAGCAATGACGCACTGCCTGGCTCCTGAAATCTCAGCGGGCCTCCCGGAGCTTAGCCATGCCACCCTGCAGCGGACAGAATTGTTGTCAGCCTCTACAAAACCACAGAACTTCCCACAGCGCCATGACCATCCATGGCCTAACAGCATTGCTCGCCGAAAGCCGCGACGCAGGATTGACCTGAACCTGAGTACAGAACGAACCTCAGTGCTCTGACTCGGAGTCTCGGAGTCCAGTTCGTGAGCTCTTGGCCAACTGCTTGCAGAAGGACCTCCAACAAAAGATCTCAGCGGTTCGGTTCCTTTGCTCCGCAAGCAGATCGAGGCCTCGCAGATTCCGAAAACTTCTGGATCGTTTCGCTAAGACCTCAGGGAGGGCTTTCAGACCCCAGAGTCGGACCCGAAGTCGCCGAATTCAAAGTGCTCGAAGCAGTTCTAAGGCCGCTATATAGGGGCCCAGCCGAAAAGACCTAGACCTTGAGCAGCAACCTTGGGGGCAACAGTTTTCACTGTGCAATGCAGAACGGCTTGAGTTGACGAGCCGGCATCGTTTGTAGAAGAAATGGTCGTCTACATCATTCTACATCTATCTACATTTCCATGCCATGCCGTGCCCTGCCATGACATGCAAGCAAGTTGCGGAGGAAGTGTCCGTGAAGTCAAGTTTCCCCTCAAGCCTCGTGGAAGGCAAGCGGCAAACGATCACTCTTACGTTCGGAGTAGTCTGCAAGATGCTCAGCGGCGCTCAGGCAATGGCATTTGTCTCTGGTCGAGCTCGTTCCGCCGATTCAGAAACGGATGCTTGCCACCAAAGATGATCATGTACCTGTGATCGTTCGGTCATCTTGGAACATCATGTCTGGGCTCTTCGCCCAACCATCGACAGCGTCGCGCCGAATCGAGAGTTCATTTTGAGCCGCACTGTATGCCTTTCAAACGCACGAGTACGCGAGTTCATCAGCTCGAGATGGCGACGGCGCAGAAGAGCCCTGCTTCATCAGCAAGCTTTATCCAGAGGGTCTCTCCAAGAGCACTCCAAGTTCGATTCTTTGGAGCGCCTTTGGGCTGCATCCCCTGAGATGTACTCTACACCAGGGTGACCCCTACAGGAAGCTATGGATTCCTGTAGGATCCATTGAAAAACCCTTTAATCAATTTTAATCAATATAGGAATAATAATAGTAGTAGCAATAATAACAATAATAATAGTAATCATAATAAACATAACAATAAAAATAATACTAGCAGTAATAATCAGAATAATAATAGTAATAATAATAATATAATCAATATCAGGCATTTTTTCACCATCAGAGCTCAGCTCTGGAAGCTGGAGAAGAGGCCAGTAACCAGGGATCCCGGCCCCGGGCCCTTTCTTTCACTGCGCACCGAAGGCAAACTCACAAGCCACCTTGCTTCCCTCATAGACTTTCTGTTCCGCCGCCTTGATGATGCACTCGTTCCTTCCCATAGTCACAAGCTACTGCTGAACATGAAGCCCATATGCCTCATTCGATGCTACAGCTGCCTCTTCCTCTGCAAGAAATGCACGTGTCTTCGTCGTAAGTTTAGCACAGCGTCATCAGCCGGAAGAGTGGCGATTGAGGTTCGATGAGCTGACCGAGCTTTTGCATCGCATGGGGCACCTCTAGAGTTGTGCGGCTGCAAAGTTGTGCAGGCGCTACTTGGAGGTTCATGGGTAGTTATAAGTGGGGTTATAAGTAGGGTAACTCTAGCTATAACCCATATTACAGGACTTATAACCCCACTTGTAACTACCCATGAACCTCGAAGTATGCCACTACGCGGATCTGCGCGGTCGAGCCTCGCGGCACTCGACGCTGCCATCGCCGAGTTCCTGGGCTCGCACGGCCGAGTGGGCCTCGTGTGCTCCGACCCGGCGGATGTGGAGCTTTGGAACCTCAGAAGGGCGAGAAAAATGCCTGGACGCCTCTCTCAAATTGCATAAGTTCAGTCGTGAGGCTGGGAAGAAGGCCAGCTCTGATGGCTTCGTCACGAGCCTCAAGATGCCGGTATTTTCGCCCCAAAGAGGAAAGAAAGTCCCCGAAGCCTAAATCACCCCAGCGAAGCGACACATCTGCCACGCGGATCACCAAGTCTGTGCAGCGGAATGCAGCAAAGTGCGAGTCGAAGCGGAAGACTGTCACGGCCTGCGCTGGTAGCAACAAGGCAGACGATGCACAAACACGGACCTTCTGACTCTTCACGGACCTGCCAGAGAAACCCTACAGCCCTAGGAAGAGACGAGCATTTAACATAACATAAGATACTAAAAAATAGTGTAATAGAGTATAATAATATGGTCGAATATACTAGAAAATGGTATATTTACAATAGATGCAAAACAGAGGCGGGTCCTTCCAGTTTGGCGGCTCCTCGAGGAGGTCCAGTGCCTCTTTCTTGCAAAGGGAAACGGTGCCCTCGCTCGACGTCACCTCGTTCCAGTCGAGTTCCAAGTCCTTGAGCTTTGAGACCACGGCATCTGCGATGTGCTTGTGGTCCCCGCAGTTCAAGTAGATACGGATCTTCTTCTCCCGAAGGAGAGGTGCCATGGCAGACAGCAGGCCGGACAGAAAGGCACTCTGAGCACCTGCTCCGCCGACTGCAATGAGGAATCGCCGTGGCAGGTTTTGCTCAGACCGTTCGATACGCGACTTGCTGTCTGCAACGGCATTGATGCAGAGGTCACTGGACACCCAGTGCCTGGGCTCTTCTTAAGGGATTTAATCTAAATTACCATAATAGGGATCTGTAGTAAATAGTGTGGTTCCTTATTATGGTAACTTAAATTAAGCCCCTTAACAAGAGCCCAGGGAGCCCAGCCAGGCGGAGACTCTTTGCGGGGCATCCCATGTCCAGGAGCTTGTCGAAGTAGGACGGGGACTGGACCAGGTTCAGTGCACCTGGAACCAGGACGAAGTACCTGGAAACTGCCAGCGCAGGAGTTTCACGGAAGATGTCAACCCAAAACCTATGAACAAGCCCTTATTCATGTAAAGCAGGAGAGTATATATACATATATATATATGTATGCATATATATATAATAGAATGCACAGTATAATGATATATGATACAACAAAATGTAATATAATGAAGTGTCGTATGCTTACCAATTTCTACCAGGGGCTGTGGGAGGTTGTCGAAGATCAAGTTGATGACGTGCTTGAAGCCGCAAGCCACCGCCATATTCCCGACGAAGGGGTGGGTGGTAATGACCTGGAAAACTAGTATTTGTAGCACTAAATAGTACTAATAATTACTAAAATAGTAATAATGCTAATAATGTTAACAGGAATCATTTTCATAAAAGGAGAAGGAGGAGGACAAGCTGAGAATGGAGCTTTTAACCTAAGAAAGGACTAAGCTCGGTCAAAGCTGAAGTTCCGGTCTGTGAGAATGACCTATTCATGCCGAGGAGGTGCCGGCACGTCTTTCGGAAATGCCGCCATTATGCCACGAATGCGCTGAGCCAATGCCAGGCTTAGTCCTGACAGATTCGGTCGGAGTCGGCACGAAGTATCCGAGGAGAGCAGACAGCAGAGGATGAACATGCGCCTGAAGTGCAGCCTTGCAGCTGAGGGCATTTGCATCACCTTGCAGCATCATTTTACCCCAGATGGCATCGAACACTCCACCAAGATTGGAAGCGATGCGAGACATGCGAGAGTACTGCCTGAGTTGGCAGGGGTACGAATAATGAATAACAGTGCGGACAGTGCTGCCCTGTAGTAACTCTCATTTTAGTGGTGACCCTATGCTTCGATTCTGTATCTGTATGAGTGCTAAGCGGCTTGTCCATATTTCGGACCACGGCTGCCTCGATGCAGTCAGGGGAGAGGATGTCCAGTAAGAAGGGCTTCCCTCCAAGTTCCAAAGCCCAGGTCAGCGCAGAATAGGCGATGCGGTGATGGCCATAGCCCATTCGAACAGAACCGACAATCACCGTCTTCTGAGTCTTCAAGGCTTCAGCCAGCACTTTGAGAGACTCCGGCGTATTGCTCTGGCTTTGTTCTAGTAAGGACAGCCCATTCACAATAGGAGACGGGACGGCTTCCCAAGCAACTTGCCGCTCCCAGGCGCGAATCTTCGGAAACCCTGCAAAAGTCAGCCACATCATTCGGTTCACATAGCTTCGGTCTCTGCACGAAGCCTCAAGGCCCACGAAGTCTTCGGTCTGCTTTTCTGGCCACGGCTTTCCCAACTCATCGAGAGCATCACCGCTCTCGCTGGGGCGGTTGCAGCACAGGCGGCAAAATGCACCTCCCATGGCACAATGCCTGCTTTAACGGCTCTGGCAGCTTAGACTGGCAAAGCGGCCGGCGAAAGCAACATTCAGCACATTCTGTCCCTAACCCCCCAGGTACCTACTATATAGGGTACTAGAGCCCCTAGGGCCCTATACAGTAGGTACCTGGAGGGTTAGGGTGTACACTCTGCAGACACAACTCGCAAGCAGTAAATGGATGAGATCTGGCGCACATGGACACTCCAGCTGCCCACATGTCCACCGGAAAACCATAGCCACGGCTGTGAACCGGCATCATGTGCTGCTCCGGCCTGGCATAGTTTAGGGATCAGGGTGGGTTTAGGCTGGGCTCCCCAAACCTCAGCTATCACGGGGCTGGGGCAAAGGCGCCATGAAGGCGGGCGTGCCGCACTTGTCGGTTAGGATGCCGCCTGGTGCTCCAGGATGCTCTCACTGTGCCCCGCACGTTTCATACTATGATCTACTATGGTATACCATAATCAGAACCTGCTATAGTATACTACGATCTACGGTGGTCTACTATGATATGTTATGGTATACTATGACCTACTAGAGTATACTTTGATATACTATCAGTCTACTACAAACAAGCCCTGCCTGGTGGCAAATGCACCGCTAGGCCGAAGTCGGACAGTTTCAAAGTGGAGTCCTGGACAGGCGCCCGGCTCCATTCTTTGGATACTGGCCTTTGGGGGCCTTAGTTTTTTTTGTTTAGGGTTTGCCCTTAATCGCAGTCCTAATATACACAACACGTGAAGAACAGTTACGGATGTATAAGGCCCTTAATAGCAGCCGGCAGCCCTACTATAGGCTGTTACTGTACCGGGGGCAGTACCCAATCCATTCTCCATCAAGAAACCCACCCTGCCCTCCAGGGCCCCTGCCCCCAAGACCATGAAGTTGTCAGGCCTCAACACAGCAAAGAACTCATCTTGTTGTGCTATGTCATATTATACGTCGCATATCATACATAGTCATAGTAGGTACTATCGTTTCCATCATCACGACAGCAAGCACAGACTGGAACGCAAATGGCAGGGTCGTGGACTTGATGTCCCTGTGGCATATGCCTGCAGGGAGCCATTGCTCATTTGGTAAAGACGGTCAGGGACGGCACGAGTTCCAGCCTTTGCTGTGCAGATGGTATAGAGCTTCGCCTGGCAATGGCACAGGAGGTATGTTGAGTTACTGACTCCGGAATACAACGCCAACTCATTTGAAGGATCCCTCTACAAGGCAAGGTCTTTCCTTACTTCGCTTGGCAGGCGTTCAACTTGGAATCCCTGAATTCCGCGCAAGTAGGACACATTTGTCGCATCCACTCGGCCGTATCTTCCTCCTTGATGACCTGAGGCATCATAAAACGAAACTTAGCATGCCGACCAGGAAGTGCTCCTGTGTAGGAGCATCGTCCTCTGTAGGAATAGGGCCCTTGACTAATTTCGCGAAGAAGCTTGGTTCTCTATCGGGCTCATGGGGATTTGTCAAACCCATTCCCAATTGATTCTTAAACTCAGATTCCCAAACTCTAAACCCTTAGCGCTAAATTAGGGTCTCTCGAAAATCAGGTTCCCGAATTCGTAATCATACCGTATTCTTCTTGTTGTTGTCCAAAGCACTCCTACGATTAGTGTTGCTACGAGTAGCTACGCGCCATTACCATTCTTGTGATTTGTACTATCACCATATAGAACTATGACTGCTATGACTTACCATTCTTGTGATTTGTACTCTCACCATATAGAATTATGGCTACTAGCAATCAGGCTCCCGCTTCTCCCCTCAGGAGCCGACAGGTCCAAGCTCTCGAACCTGTCAGATGAGGCGAAAGAAGGGATTTGGGGGCGTCGGGCTTGGGGCTTTACCCCTTCAAAACCCTAAACCCTATGCCCTAAACCCTAAGCCCTAAACCCTATGCCCTAAACCCTAAATTCCCTAAATCATAAATCCTATACCCTAGGCTTTCGGAAGCTCTGCTTGGTGGGTTGCTAGGGTTGACCAGTGCTTCTGTGGGTTCAAAAGGGAGTCTTGGGCGCTTTTTTGAATGGGCTTCCAAGGCCTGGGAATATTTTTTGGGGTTTCTAGGGTTTGGGGCTGAAAATGGCTTAAAATTAAGGGATCTTTCTAGGGTTTGGGATTAAAAGGTCTTAAAATTAAGGGATCGATTGCAAACTGCTGCACTGGAAAGGAGGGCCTTGTCGCCAAAGTCACCTCCATCGCAGTACTCCAATGCCAGGTAGATGCTGGTCTGGTCCTGCAACAGCGCGGGCTCACCGGTCACGTCCCTATTTTTTCTCATACAGTTATGTATGCTCAGATTCCTCTCTGAAGGACTTCGTGGCAACATCTCAAAAGCTCTGCGCGGCAGTAAGATTGAAGCTAGAAGATAGGCTAGACGAGGATCATGGGGAGTGGCAGCCGCAAGTGGGAATGGCACGCGCCAAGTCAGAAACCATGAGCAGCGCGTGATCCTCCTCAAAGGTGGAGGTGATGCCGGCGGCACAGGGAGTACGAGTGGGGCTCAGTGACCTGGGGAGGAAACCTGTAGTAGTGACGGATGACACAACGGGAGACCAACGCTCCGAAACTCCTCGAAGGTGTCGTACAGCTTCGTGATGTACTCATGTGAGCAAGCCTTGCGCTTGTGTGCAACAGAACTTACTCCATGACTCACCACGACACACATAACACAGGTCATATCGACGTTGGCGACACAGTTTGGGCGCGGCGCTCTCATCATGGATACTTCCCTTTCGATATCGTGGCGCTTCACCTCAGAACACCACAATGGCACTTTCCGGCTGGAAGCCGAGGTGGCGGCAGCAGCAGTCGTGCAACATCGACACCACACTCGCTGTATGTTACATTATATTACATTTTATGTAACACTTAATGTTATACGCAATGTATGTATTATATATGCAGAGGCATAACTTCAAGATGCTCGGTCCGAACTCTTCATGACCCCTTCACCTACCGAGGGAGTGGCGCCCCGCTTTGGCATGCTGGCTTTGTCCATCTGCTTGATAGCGACCTTCTGGCTGGTTCTTAGTAAGGAATGGGGGAATGGGTTATTGGGACTACTATAGGGGACCTTAAGGAACTATCATAGGGATCCATTCCCCCATTCCCTACTAACCAGGGAGCCTTGAGCGGACCGACTCTCTGAGAACCTACTGTGGTTTTTCTTTGCAGGGTTACTCTTAGCACCTGTGAGCCTTGAGGGCTTGCCACAGGAAAATCTCTAAAAGAAGCCTTCCGGAATGAGAGAACGCGGAGCTGCAGAACCCTTCGCCGCGCGTCTTTCCGGAAGGCCGATGGATCGACTGTGGAAGAATTGAGGTCTTCTGTACTGTCTTGGGGAAGTCCGCGACCGGGAATTGCCCTAAACCACTTCTTCCCGAGAAAGGAACCATCTCACTCGCTCAGAGGTACATCAGCGGCAACGCGAAGTCAGGGTGCTAACTCGGTGACCTACTACAACCAAAAGTCCGACCAACACTTACTGCTGAGGCAGGGTCGGTGATGCCGCTCTTTCGGTTCTTTGCTCGCCAAACCGTGCCGAAGCTTCCCTGTCCCAGCTTCACCTGCTCAGCCGAGGAATGATGATGTGCAGCGTGGCGCATGATAAGGTTTTTTCAGAGCCAGGCCGGACAGTACCCAGTTGCTGCAAGCCAACCCCAGCGTCGCCAGGCACATGGTTGCCAAATATGCAAGCTGAAGAGGCTGAATAACCGAGTCGACGCAGGTCAGATTCGACATCGATGCAGGCTCTGTCCCGCTGGCCTTCTGCACAAAATAGATCTCATCGAGCTTCTCCCGGCCACCAACCTGCATGTCATGACGGGAACGCAAAAGCTAAACTGCGGGAGACGAGACAGGCTGCACACGGCGAGAATCTGATGTATCTTCCGTGAGAGAGACCAGACTGAGACGGGAAGTGTAAAGAGATGCTTATGAGGCGGTCTTTGCAGGTGCCTGTCCCATTTCAGCGCGAACCCAAGCAGACCTGGCAAGTGCACAAGTGCATTGGCCGAGAACGAATGCCAATCAGTATGTCTACATATCTACCTATACATATATGTATGTCTATATCTATGTGATTGTTGTAGTATACAATATGATGTGTAATCATGCTACGTATGTATAGTGCGTATCATACATCTACACTCACATACATATATACATGTATCTACATACATATACGCATACACACACATATATATATATGTATGTGTATGTATATATATATATATCTACATAGTGATGATTGCTTTGTACTCAGGCCTCGGAAGGTCTCCCCCACGCTAGCAATGGCCTCAGCAACCCATCGCAGGGCGGAGTTCCAAGCAGCACAGCGCCTGGGAACCTCCAGAAGTTCCTGGGCTCCCGGCCGTCAGTTTGGCGATCCCGGCCCGCTAAGAAGGGCGGGGGAGGTCTCATCCCCGAAGCTCTTTTCTTGCATGAAACTTCGAGAAAAGCCGGCAGCGGGATGTCCGTTCCAAGGAGTCATCACAGGTTAGGGTGTTAGGGTTTAGGGTTTTAGGTGTAGGGTTTAGGGTTTGGGGCTGAGGGTTCATCTCAGGGCTCGTCAGCAACGATCTAGGAGCAGTGGAGGTCTCTTCCATCGGCCTTTCAGGCCAAGCACTCCAGGACCTAGTCCCGGCATTATGTATTATATATTAAAGTTGTATATACAAATATATACATATACATATGTATAATATGTTATAATGTATTATGTTGAATTTTATGTTATATACAATGTACTAGGTTATATTATGTAGCATGTCTTATACACTCAATATTATATTGAGCCCAAAGTCCGTCCACGGGGTTGGCCCGATATTTGGCAAGCGAAGGTCAAAGTTACCCGATGCAGCTGGCTTTGGAAACAGAGAAGGGACAAGGCCTCTGCTACAGTATCCTCCATGATACCTCAAATCCATCTCGGATTGCACGCCTAGATCTTGAGAGATTCGGCAGGCAATCTCTGGATTTCTGCGACAAATTTGAGCTTCTACCGCTAGGATGATGCAAGACTGGAGAGGCCTTTGGCTTTAACTTGAATAACTTGGCGCTCAGGTCCTTTCTGCTTTCTGTGGCTTTGTTGCAGCTAAAGAACAGGTCCAAAACCCTATAACCCTAAACCCTATAACCCTAAACCCTAAACCCTACAACCCTAAACCGTACACCCCAATAAGCTCATCTGCCGCAGCCTTTTTTTTCCGAGATCGTGTGCACCTTTGTGGGCCATTCCACGCCCCGGGGCGACCTTGGAACCCGAAGAGCTGGAAGGTGTCCCTGAAATTACTTGGTTTAGGGTTTAGGGTTTATAGGGTTTAGGGTCTTTTAGGGTTTAGGATTTTTTAGGGTTTAGGGCTTTTTAGGGTTTGGGGTTTCTTTAACAGCAAGACGCCTCTTGTCGCAGGTCGTCAGTCCAACTTGCAACTTCACCGCACCAGCCGTGCATCTTCGAACTGGGGTTACCCAGTCTCCGTAAATTTCAAGACGGCAGGAACAGTCCGTCCGAAAGCAAGGAAGGCAACAATCATTCAAAGAAACGACTGCTTGAACTCTTGACGCCCTGAACGCTGTACCTGACCGTCTTGGATCCTTTGCTGTCTGCTTTCAAAGCATGAAGCCGAACCATGCAGGTGCATCAAACAAATTGGGTTTCTCTAATTAGGAGGCAGAGTAACGCATGATATACCACCAGATGTCTACCGCCACAGCTCCAAAAGTGAGTGAAATGTCATGTCTGCCCTCGACTCGAAACAATGTAGCTCTGCCGGAGACCGGCGTCTCCCCACAACGCCAGCGTGACACTCACGAGAGGATCTCAGGCATCTGCCTCGCGTCTAAAATTTTACGACCCCATGGTAAACATTGACCCTGTACTGCAGCTGAGGCTGTGCCATGCTGTGCCCTTAACTTCGACTGGAACAAAGCAACTTGACGGCTTCTGAAAGTCAGGAGTGCAGGGCTGGCCTTCTTGAGTGGCTGATCCTTCGTCGCAGTGCCACCTCACCAAGGGAAAACAAGCAGGAAGCCACAGTCATGGGGAGGCGCTGTCAGGCGTCTTCCCAGAAAAAAAGCTCAACATGGTGACCGATGCCCTTGAAGACTCCACCTGCAGCCTCGAGCCATGGCCCCCGGTGCTCTGAGTTCCACACCGATCCGCGGCTGGGGCGGGCCGCAGCCCAGAAGCTGAAGAACTCGCCTCGAAAGTGAGGCTCCACGGCTGGGGCAGAGCTCGGCTTGGTTTCAAGAAAAAGGAGAAAAAGGGGCTTAGAAGTCTTAGAAGCCTGTTGAAGGATCGTCTGAGACTGCATGCATTTTCCTGCGATGGTTCTGCATAGGAGAAGACCTGCCGATCGAATTTTCGAGGCCCTTGCAGCAGGAGGTCCTGCAGTACGCCAGGCACGGATCGAACCTCAGACACGGACCAAACCCTAGGGCTCCCAGTATACAAATAGTACCTGCTTTGGGGTCTAAAGTCTGTAAGTAGTACCTACTTTGGGCTATTTGGAGCCCCATGAACAGGGAGCGTTGCTCGCTGCGGAAAGCGAATTTTGCAAGAGTTCGGACAGGGCATGCAACAATGGCGACGTGCTCTGTAGAAGTGCGGCTCAGACTCGGCACCATGTCAATGTGGACTGGGCTGCGGGCAGAGGGGTTGCTGACCATCTCATATAATACCTGGGGTCAAAGGAGACAAAGTGAGAATGGAGTCGGTGGCTAGTTGTAGCTGGATGAAAAGCAGCTGGCATTGCAAGCGGATACGTCCATGGTTGTGTGCTTCAGCCCTTGGGGACAGGCATCGGTGTTTGCAGTCAGCTGCTCAAGGATCTTCTCCTTGACATCTTGCAGACCAAACCTCAGCAAAGCCAAGTAGGATTGCCTTATACGCCGTCTGAACTTGATCATCTATTCGTCTATTATTATTATTATTAGTCTATCCTGCCGCCTCTTCTACTGAGCGCTGCTCTCCTCGCAGGCCGCTAGACGGTCCAGCAGATTTGCCGTCGTCAGGTTCTTGGCCAACCAGCGAGCAGCCTCGCCGTAGGACTGCTGGGACCGATACTGTAGCCGTCCATCCCTTGTGCCCTGCTTTGTACGCTGCAAACACACGGGTCTGACACAAAGTACAGTAACTGCAACGCCCAGTCCATGAGCAAACAAAGGGAGGCATTTCGAGCCACCCTCACAGTCGGTACCTGTACATCTGTCCAGCAACCAAGGACAGGTCTCACGTAAGCTACCTGCTCGCTCCCTTGCTTCGGTCACATGGACATTGACATGCGAGTTTTCTTCCGTGATCCATCGACTTAAACCCCAAGTTTCGTTGCACCGTCTGCCCGAACTAGAGGGTTCATGTGATAGCGTTTTGGGCTTGGGTTTGGGTTTGGTGTCTACAGGAATCACAGTGTCCCGAGAACGGTATCGCGAGTGCCGAGGATGGCATCGGGTTTACGGCGTCCCGGGCCTTTTCATATACCCAATTGCAGGCTTGTACAAGACAAAGACTTCGTCATCACTCAGGGGCCAATTTCCTGGCCGGGGCGTGCATTGGTTAATGTGGCTGAGGCCATTCAAAAGCCAGGCAAACGCCTACCGCGGACTATTGCCATACTGAAACATGGGAAGTCCTTGGTGCACTTTCACGAATTCGTTGCTGCTGCATGCAGCAGGCTTTATTGCCCCGTTCGTTCTGGCTGCCAGACTCCTGGCTCACATGTTCACGGATCTCCGCATCTTGGCTGCCCTGGACGTCCTGGTGCTGACCAGTGTCGCTGTCAAGCTCAGCATGACCTTCTGGCTAACCTGCCCGCACGCAGGCGACAGTCAGCAAGGAGAGAAGCACACGAAGACGTGTAGGCATTGCGCAGCACGCCGGATACTACAGCACCTTCGAGTGGGTACTGTTTGGGATTCAGATTTCTTATGGAGCAGCTTGCCCAGCACGTCCAACTTGCTCCATAGGCAGCCGCCACGAATCGCAGATACCGCAGTTCACCCTTCAGTCTACTCTGGAGATTCAGGCTCCAGCGCTCGACCTCTGAGAATCGAGCAAGCTTGTATGAGTATCTGACTCTGTCAGGTGCCCCGTCTCACCGGCTGCCACAAGCGGCTGGCTGGCTATCGATCGCCCCGTCGAATCAATGTGTGTCACAAGTTGCGAAGCCGCGTCAGTCGGAAGGGCCCTTGCAAGTCTGAGGTCTCCCAGGCCGTCACTGAGTCACGACTTTCTCAACTCCACGAAAACGTAAGCTCTTCTGTCCAACGTCGCCCCAGGAGACGTAAGGGACCTCAGCGACAGGTTGGGCAACCTCCTTGGGCGAGAACTAGTGGGCCTTAGCCATGATACCAAAGAAGCAGATAACACATGCCTTGGTTCCACAGATGAAGGCGCACAAGAGAGGATGACACTGAGGCATCTTGTCGAAATTCTGTGTGCAGGTCCACGCGGTGCCTCTCTCTTCCAAAGAGCAGCTGCGCATGGTGGGGACTCGCCTCGTCCAGCTCAAAGGACCACTGGTGCATGCCGGTGAAGTTCATGTACGCGGCTTCATCCCTGCCCGAGGCCAGGCATGGGGCGGGAGGGCTCAGAACTCAGTCACTCACTCCCACCTGGAAAAATCCTGAGCGTGCAGACATGCGCGAAACTTTCACAGCGAAAGCACCGGAGAAGAGGCCTGGCATGTCGAAGAAGAACCTGACCGCCAGGTCGGGTCACCTGGCACTGGTAATGGTCACGCCTTGCACACCCTACATTTCGACCTCCTTCCAGCTTGTCGCTCAGAAAGTAACCTGCAATACACCTATAGATCTTGCCCTGCTTCTTCCCGCCTTCAGCATCTCTCGGATGGCACGGGTTGGCTGCAAAGCGTGATCCAGCGCGTTGCGAACATGGACCAGGTCCTCAGCTGCTGTGCGCTCCAAGGTGCCCGAAGTCACAAGCCGCGTAGTCTAGTTATAGACTA